AAGCTGCTCTAGGGGGATCCTGCATAATTTACGCCTTCGCAGCTGCCCCCTCTCTCTTATTTGATGTGACCCAGGCGCTGCAAGGGGAAGGGCTCCCACCTCAGGAAGTCTCTGTTTTTAAGTGGTAGGCAGAGAAGGGATAACAAAGGCCTCCAGATCTACCAGAGTTTCCAGGACTCCAAAATGGTTTTCTTTTCTTCCCCTCACGCTGAGATTTTTCATAAACCCCAGGCGCATCACATGGGAGGGGGAAGGTATCTGGGAGAAGCAGAGAGACACTGGACCCTGCGTCCAAATGACTGAAGGGACAATCTGGGACACAGGAGATAGATTCCAGTCCCAGCTTGGCCTTGACTCTCAGCTGGACCTTGGTCTGGAACCTGAGCATGCACAGGACCAGCACCCCATGGAGGTCTTGTTAAGGATAGATTGGTAGCCGAGCACATGCCTATAATCCCAGCGGCTTGGCAGGTTGAGGTGGGAAGATGGAAGGTTTGAAGTCAGCCTCAGCAACTTAGTAAGACTGTAAGCAACCTAGTGAGACCCTGTCTCACAATAAAAATTAAGAAGGGCTAGGGATGGGCTGGGGCTGGGGTTCAGTGGTAGAGCGCTCACCTAGCATGTGCGAGGCGCTGGGTTCGATTCTGAGCACCACATAAAAGTAAATAAAATAAAGGCATCGTGTCTAACTACAACTAAAAATATATATATTTTTTACAAAAGGGGGGGAGCACTGGGGATGTGGCTCAGTGGTTAAGCATCCCTGGGTTCAATCCCTGGCAAAAAAAAAAAGACAACAGATTGCTTGTCCCACCCCAAGAGTTTCTGAAGTTCGGCCTGAAAATTTCTAACAAGTGCCCAGATGATCCCCAGGTGCAGGTGGGATCTACTGGCCTAGTTGCTTCCTTTCTGCTCTGTTCTTACCTCTGACATGGAGCCTCACACTGGTGCTGCCTGCCTCTTCCCAAGGGCCCTGGGATGCTTGAATTAAATGCTGGGGAATAAGGAACCTCTGGGAGCTGGCTGAACTCCCTGCTTGGTGGGCAGGGAAACAGGACCAGAGACTGCACAGGCCAAGGTCACACAGTCAAGTAGCCTCCGCCCCCTCTGGGGTCCCCCAGCCTGACACAGACACTTGCAGCATCTCATCTTTCATGTGAAGTGACACTACATGGTATTTGTGCCAGACGCTGGTAGTTCCTGTCTATGTCTCTTGGGGTACACCATCTTGCACATGCCAACCTGGCACCTTCTAAGGGCTGGCCTACCACTCTGCCTGAGGACGTTTTCTGGCCTCAGAGGCCCCTAGCCTGGCCTGTGTACATGCAGGAAAGCCACCAGGGACCTCATGCCCATTCTCCTGCAGCAGATCCCAGCCAATGACTAGTGGGTACAGACCTCAGCTCCCTCACCCCTCATACCAACACCTCAATGAAGATCCTCTGATCACCTCTCAAACGAATCACTTGCCTTTGATCTCCAGGAACTCAGTCTCAGACAGACTAGTAGTAGCAGCAGCAGCAGCAGCAGCAGCCATCATTCATTGAGCACCTAGTATATGCCAGGCATTGTGGAACATGACCTCAATCCACCCCCCCTACCAAGTGAGCATTTTTACCTTTGTTTCACTGTGGAGGCCGCTCAGGTACGGAGAGCGGGGTGGGCTGATCCGGGCCTCTCAGATGATAAACTTTCAATCTACAAGTGGAGGTCCAAGACTCCACTTGGCCGAGCTGGGAGTTGAGGAACCTGGGCTCCCCTCTTGGGACTCACCCTCAATTCCCATGGCCCCTGAGTGGACAAAAGGCAGCATGGGACAAGAATACAGCACCTTGGCCCTGACCCTGTCCCCATGGCAGGCACCTTCAGGAGTGGCAGCAGCAGGACTCCTTCCAAGGGCCTCACCATTGAGGCTATTGATGGGAAAGGAGCCTGAGCCCCAAAGGAAGAGCGTGGGGCTACCTCATAGTGACTGTAGCCGAGGGCTGGTTTGTGGCTACTCTTGGGGACTCCCAGGAATAATTGGGGGCCCTTTGAGAAGAATAAGTTCATGCTTATGTAGAAGGGGGATCAGGGTTCTTGTCTTTGAGGCAAAAGTGGGACTCTACTTTGTCACTGCAGGCCAATGACACCCGTGATCCCATGTCAGCCTGCACTGCTGCATTTCTAACATGTTTTTGGGGACAGATTGTGGTCTTGGTCTCTGGAAGTGTAATGTTTTCTTTCAGCTTAAGTTTCAAAGCATGTTCCATAGCAAACATTTCATTACGCAGGAAGAAGGCTGCCTGGGGGATAATGAAGTCACGTACTCGAGGACGGTGAGAGGCGCTCCTGAGATGGCACTCAGGGCCCACGTTGGACTTCATTCGGGGCCCGTTTTCTCTGGCAGGAACTTCCAATGTATCTCCCTGGGCCTGGCCTCAGTTTCCTCAGGCATGCCAAGAGAGGCAGCTGAGGGGGCCCCATGCTGTTGAGGTCCCTCCCTTGGGGCCACCCGGCAAATCTAGGCAGGTTCCTTCCCCAGTCTCTCCTGGAAGCAGATGTGTAATTGAGCCTACGGGGTCACTGTGACAGGCACAGCCCGTAAGTCTCAGCTGGGGAGCAGCCCGGGGAGATAAATTGAAGTGCAGCTGGCTTTTTCAATCTCGAGGACAGCCGTCTCTGGAGTTCACGTGGAGAGAAGGGGGAGCTGACAGAGCCATTCCCCAGGGAGGAGACACTCAGGGGGCGGGGGCAGAATAGTGTTGGATCCCCAGAAACCAGGCACCAGGGTGGATTCGCATAGAACAGTGACAATCAAAATGTGCACCAACATGGGCTGTTTACACGCCTCTCTCCTCCTGGGCTCTAAGGCCAGAGTCGGCCTCGGAGTCCACTTGTGGTGCCCAGCACAGGGACTGGTCACAGGCAGGCATCGCAGAGCACAGGTAAAGCTATGATAGCCGGGCTACGTCGAGGGCTTTTTCTGCACCAGGCTCCATGTTTCATGTTCTGTTAAGTGGCGTTTTCTCCGTACAACATCCCCTCGTGATAGAGTTGAGGAAATATCAGCAGAGATGTCGAGAACAGACAAGTAGATGACTTGCCCAGGGTCACTCAGCTGGCACCTGCCCGAGCTAGGCTTTCAACCCAAGCAGTTTGCTCCAGAGCCTGGGCTCCAGGGCACCCTATGAAATGACCCATACACTAGTGACAATAGCAACAATGAAAAGACCGTGTCAGGCACCTGTCCCAGGGACCAGAGAGAAATTAAGAAATGATGGGCACGAGCCCAAGCAGGCTGGCAGAGGAAATGGCAGGTGAAAATAGGGGTTGAGAAAGGCTGTTGCATGTTTGGGGAACGGTGACACATTTGGAAAGACTGGAGTGTGGATGGGAGTGACCCAGGAGGAAGGTGGAAGCCAGATCATGGGGACGTCAAGCTAAGGAGCTCGGATGGGAGCCGCTGGCGAGGGCAGCCACTGCAGCAGAAAGTGACATGGCCGGTATGGGCCCCAGACCACCTCTCATCACCTCTGTGCCTTGGTCCACTCACTTTCTTCTTGGAGCCTCAGTTTCCCTAGTGGTCACTCCTGCCTGGCAAAAGCAGGGCTTCAGCAAGGACTGATGAGATAATGGATGAAGAAGGTTTGAAAAATGTTACAAATGCAGCTTGGGTGGCAGGTGGGATGGGAAGGCGTGACCAGATGGTGGGTGTGAGTTAAGCCAGCTCTTTTCTGAAGGGGCTTTCGGATTTGCTCCAACTTTCTTTTATGATTATTAAAACATGACTCTGCAAGGGGCTTTGCTACTAGCTCAGCCCACCCTTCGAAACTCACCTTTCTGGTTCTCTTCTCTTTGCAGGAGGCAGAGTGGTCATCAACACATGGGCTTTAGAGTCAGCCCATGTTAAATCCCAGCTCTGCCACTTGAAGCTGTGTAACCTTGGGTAAGTAGCTTTCTGTCTCTGAAGTTTCCTGATTCTGTAATGCAAGAATAATAATGCCCACCTCCAAGGGTTGTTGAGATGATTGAATGAGATGGTAATAACTCATGGACTTTGCAGGATATGGAAGGAACTAGTCATTGATATCTGGGGAGGAAAAGAGTACAGAGTCCACAGGAGGGAGGGAGATTTATTTTTCTCTATATACTTTTTGGTAATGGGAGATTCCTTACTTAGAGAAATTAATGGAATTTCAAATACTGAGATAAGACATGGAAAGTCCTTCCTCAGCACGGCCTTGGCCCTGAAGAAGCACTCCACAATGTTAGCTCTTTCTTCTTATTGTACACATGGTTGCAAAGTGATGTTTCGGAACTCTTTCTTTGTGAACTGAAGCTGAATGCTCTTGGGGAGCACAGAGACCACGGCTGAGGCCAGGGTTACTTCTTAGCCAGAAAAGAGGTCTCCCAGGGCAGACTCCGGCCTCTGATGCAGCTGCTCCCAGCCTCAGTGAGCTAACACCCGGCCCCTGGAGGAGCATGCGGCTCTCCAGGTTGAGGCTGGGAAGGGCTGGGAGGCCAAGGACCAGGCCCACAACCTGGCTTTGTAGCCTGTCTGTGACGACCTGCTGAGTCACCCTGGGCAAGTCCTTCAACCTCTCAAGTGTCAAATGAGGACACGGCCGCTCATCTTCCTGGCTGGGCTGCTGGGAGGGTTCCGCAGGAGTCCAGAGACAGTTGTCTGCCGTCATCGCACCTTCCTGGACGTGGGGGCAGCCTGGCCAGTGACAGGCTTTCTGCCTGGGGTGGTAGGGTAGGATGCAGGGGACAGAGAGGTCAAGGATTCCCAGTGCCACCCTGCGGCTCCACCCCGTCCACTTCTCTGAGCAGCACCCTGAGCCATGAGCCGGGCTAACCCAGCAGAGGGAGGGCTCTGGATTGCAGCAGAGAAGCAAAATCCGAATGTAACTAACAGAGCTTTACCTTATCCACTTGCCAGGACGGTGCTTATGCTAATCCTATTCTGAGCAAAAGCAACTCAGACTAATAAAAGCTGCGCCCACTCTGGGCTCCACACCATCTGTCGGTGCGCACGCTGGGGATCCACTCTGCCAGGCTGTGGGGGACCCTCATCGGCTGGAGGCGGGGCGGGGGCCCTCTGGTCTTTTGTCACACGTTCATTCAGCACGTTGCATGAGGCCCTGCTAGGGACACCAGCGACGAGAAGGAGGAAGCAGAGCCACCCGAGGTCACTGCCCCAAGAAGGCGTGTTCTGGTGTGTAGGGGGGAAGCAAGGAATAAATAAGAGAATATGGTAAGTTCAGATGCATGCGGTCTTGTGAAGAAGGACACTCATGTGGCAGCAAGTGACGCGGGGGTGTGGGCCTAATTAGAGACCGAGGCCAGGAAGACCCTTGGAGGAGGACCTGCAGGACAAGGAGTCAAAGGAGGATCAGGGTGTGCCGAGCAGAGGAGGAGCATCTGCCAATGCCCCAAAAGGCACCGTGTGAGTTTGGGGGACAAAAGCCAGAACAGCTGGAGCCAGGGATCGGAGACAAGATGGAGCTGGTGCCAGAGGTCAGGACTCGCAGAGCTGAGCCGGCCTCTGGAAGGACTTGGGTTTGTTTTCAGTGTGATGAGATCCGTGGGAGGGTTTTGGGCAGGAGCGTGACGTGGTGCAGTATGGGCGCTCACTCTGCCAGCCAGGTAGAGAGTGGGTTACAGGGAGGACAGGCGTGCCAAGGAGACCAGGTAAGAGGCCAGGTATGGCACAGGGGATGGAAGGTTGAGGAGGGGGTTTCAGTGAGAGAACAGACTAAGATAAAGAGGGTCACGGTGCACACACCACACATCTCTGGTGTGCGGCAGGAGCTCATTAACACTGATTAGGTTTTGGATTATTTTGACACCCCCTCCCCACCGTTACAGCTTCCCCCAAATCATACCTTTGGAAAACACTAATAATTGATTGGTTCAAGTCCTGGTCCTGAGGCCTCTGTGACAATGCTGGATGCATCTTTCCTTGTGAGCTGACCTCAAGTGGCATCCTTATGGCCATGTGGGCTGCCTGCCTCTGAAGGAAGCCTGCCACGGGCCAGGTGTTTTCTGTCTCTGAAGCAACCCAACCCTCCTGGCTTTATCAGGGTGCGTTGCTGTCTGCATCAGGAGGGCGGGCGCAGGCTCTTGCACGTTTAGAGACAGCACCAACAGCAGAACCCTGAGAAACCACAGCAGAGGGAGGTTTGGCCCCCGATCCTGCCTGTCTTCTAATTTGCTCGTTCCTGGCTTGTGCATTGAGTCCCTGACCTGCACCGGAACCTGCTGGGGCCATAGAAATGAATCAGGCACAGTCCCTGCCCTAAATTTCACATTCAGGTGCTGAGGTGGGGGTGGGGGTGCGAGTGAAATACCCAGTGTTCTCCAGCTGCTCCAGATTTTTGGTTATCAAAAAGCTGTCCAGGTAGGAAGCTCCTGGCACATGAAGCTAGGATTTTTGCTGAGGAGTTTCCTAATTCCACGTCTTTAAAACCCTTCCCTTAAGCAGGAATTCCCAGGCCGTTCATCCACCGGCCCCCTCACTGTCCAGGCTGTCTCCCAGCTATTCTTCTCTTCCTGCACCTTGACTCCAGCCACCCTGCACTTGGTACTGTTCCTGACCTTTGACATTCCTTGAGCTTGCACATTTGCACATACTTTTCTTTGTAACCTGAAAGGCCACTTGTCCTTCTCACTACCGGCCTGCAAACTCCTTTGTAAAACCCATCAAGAACCAGCTGGAAAATCCACCTCTGCCAAGGCTTTCTGGGTCCACTGTAGCCAGGTCCCCACGGGCATAGTGAAGCTGTCCCTCCACTGGCCCCCAGCCCTCCTGTCATCCCCTGATATGTCGGATTGTCGTGGGTCAGTGTCTTGGTTCGGCATCGGACCTAGAGCCCTATCTGGTCCGTGTCGTGCCTGGGTCTAGCAGAGGCCTGACATAGAGGAGGGAGGGGTTCAGCAAGCTGGTTCCTTCCTGGACGTACCACTTCCACGTACCTGGAAGTACCACAGACACTGGGGCTTAAACAGAGGACATTTGTTTTCTCACAGCTCTGGAGACTGGAAGTCTGTGATCGCGGTGTCAGCAGGTTTGGCTTCTCCTGAGGCCTCTTTCCTGTCTTGCAGATGGCCATGTTCTTGCTGTGTCCTCACACGGTCTGCATGTTGTCTGTGTCCTCTTCTTACAAGGACACCACTGTGTGGGATCAGTGCCCACCCACACGACCTCATTCTACCTTCATTATTTCTTTAGAAGTCTCCATCTCCAAACAGTCACCTCCTGAGGTATGGGGGGGTCAGGACTTCAACACAGGGATTTCAGGGGGACAAAATCAGCCCATAAGAGGGTGACCAGTTGTTAGTGTGTGGCCACAGCCTAGGAGTGTGAGAAGCTCAGGATGAGGCCAGAGAGGTTAGCAGAGGCCTGGTGGGGCAGGGTCCTGAGTGCTGGGCCTCAGGCTAGACTGTAGCCCCCGGACAGAAAGCCAAGGAAGAAAAGGAGAACCAGATCCCACGCAGAGGGGTAAAGAGCAGGGCAGGAGTACTCCCTGGGGTTGTGGGAGGGGACATAAATATTGATTATGTTTATGGGATGTTCTCAAGGGCTATTAGCTCTGAGTTTATTTTCCAACATAAATAAAAGAAGATAACCATTAAGGACCTAAGTTCTCTGAGGCAACAAAATACCGGAACACTTATGAACATACAAACATCATCCCCTTCTTCATCTCTGAGACTGTTTTATAAAACACTCTCTTATTTAGATGGGGAAGCTGAGGCCCGGTGGATGGGAGCAGCCTGTCTTCAGTTGCTAGTCAGATACAGTAAAGGATGATCAGCCTCCTCAAGGGCGAGCATGAAGAACTGCACAGGAAGGACCTTCAACCCTGGTTGGACTTGTTCTCACACAGCATTGTTATGTGTGGTTCTTCATGTTCAAAAATATAGATGACCTGTGACTGTGTCTTCACTGTGAAAAGAAACCAATCACACTGAATTATAACTGAATTATAACCCAGTGTACAAAATAAATGTGTCCATATCAATATAAAAATTATCAAAATAAGTAAATAAAATGGAGAGAAGAGAGATGCATCTTTCTTGTGGAAGACTTCTAAATAAAATAGGTAGATCCTGGGAATTCTGGGAGGTGGAGCTGAATTCACCACCCACCATCCTCCAACCTTTAAGGGCTGTCTGGATTTCATGACTTGCCCCCAAAGAAAAGAACACAGAAATGGAAAACTGGTAAACGACAGCAGAGGAACCTGGCTAGTACTACCTGAACCGACACCCAAGGTTCAACTCATCAGCAATGCCACGTGGTGCCATGTGCCTGCCCCCTGATGAGATGTGACCAAAAGGGACACCCGCCTGGGCGGTATTCTTGTCAAAAGCCTATAATCTCAATTTAGTGAGGAGGGAATCCTCAGACAAGCCCGAAATAAGGGGGATTCTACCAAACACCTGGCCAGTGCTGATCAAGACTGTCAAGGTCACAGGAAACAAGAAATGACTGGGAAACTGTCACAGAGCAGAGGAGGCTAGAGAGACATGGGCACTAAATGCAATGTGGGATTCTGGACTGAATCCTGGAACAGAGAAGGGACATTAATGGTGAAGCTGAAAGAAGTCTGGGGCTTAGTTGATAGAAATATATCAACAATGGGCTTTTAATTTTGTCAAATGTAACCCATGAATGAAAAGTGCTGCCCACGGAAAGAACAGGATGAGGGACATATAGGAACTCTCTGTATTATCTTTGATACTTTTTGTAAATCTATACTTATTCCAGAAACTTTAAAAATTATTTTGAAAACATCAGGTAAACAAAGCCAGCCTCAGCAACTTAGTGAGGCCCTAAGCACCTTAGTGAGACTCTGTCTCTAATAAAATGCTCAGTGGTTAAGCACCCTGGGTTCAATCCCTGATACTAGAAAAAAAAAAAAATCAGATAAAGAGAGAGTCTCCCTGGGCTGCCAGTCCATACACCCATCCAAAACTTCTCTCTAATTTAAGTATGTATCTGTATACACCTATACACCTTTCCCCCATCTCTTTTCCCTCCAAAATGCTCCTATGGAAATAGTTTATCCTATTGGTTCATCCTGTACATAGGATGCTGCAACTCTTTTCTTTTCACCTAGCACAGTATCGTGGTGTTCCCATGTTTGGCCTTATGGATCTGAGCTGTCCAAAGCAGTAAACTTTGGCCACATGTGGCTAGAAGCACTTGAAAATACTGTTAGCCTAACTTGGTATGTTTTAAGAGTAAAATGTACACCTCATTCCACAGGCAGTACAAAGAGGAACGTAAAATGCCTCATTAGTCATTTTATGTTGATTACACGTTGAAGTGATAATGCTTTGGGAATATTGGGATCAAAGTATATTGTTAAAATTAACTTCATCTCTTCTTTTTACATTTTTAATGTGGCTACTGAAAATTTTTAAATTACATATACGATTTGCATTGTATTTCTCTCTCTCTTTTTTTTCCCTGATACTGAAGACTAGACCCAGGGCCTTGCACATGCTAGCTAAGTGCTCTTCCCCTGAGCTACATCTCTAGCCCATTTAAAATTTTCTTTTGGGACAGGGTCTCACTAAGTTGCTGAGGGGGGCCTGGAACTTGCAATTCTCCTGTCTCAGCCTCCTGAATCACTGGGATTACAGATATGTACCTCCACACGTCATCTGTGGGCTGTGTGTGGACTATGTTGCACATTGTAGCCTAATGAGGGGATAAGTCTGGCATTGGGAACTTTCTGTGGCACCCCCACAAGGATTGAGTGCCTGATGCAGGTGAACTTCCCCCTCAAGCTCTGCCAAAGATCCCATAGCACCTGAGATAAGTGTGACCCGAGAAAATGCCAATCAACCTGCTGACTGCAGGACATTTCAAAGCAAGGCTCCACCCTTGAAACCTTATCCCTGCCTTTGATGTCCCCCTTAAATAAACCACCAGAGCCATCTTTTCTTTGTCTGGTTCCAGGGCCATGTGGACTAGTTCTATCAAGGACTTTGCTTTTGTAAATATATTTCTGGCTATTTTTGTTACGTTATTCACTAATGATTTGAGACTTTAAGTTTTAGGGTGGCTTACATCCTCCTGAGCAGGAAGAAGAACCCCCTAATGAGATGCTGGCAGTTGCCCTTGTTAACCTCACCCAAGAGGTTACAATACATTTTTATTGAACAGTGCTGTTATATAGATTAAAACACACTTTAAAAAATCTAGTTGTATTTATTTAACCATTCTTTTTCTAATGTGCATTTAGATTGTTTTTATTATATTTTATTCTATTTATTTTTTTGGTACTGGGGATTGAACTCAGGAGCACTTGATCACTGAGCCACATCCCCAGCCCTATTTTGTATTTTATTTATAGACAGGCTCTCACTGAGTTGCTTAGCTCCTTGATCTTGCTGAGGTTGGCTTTGAACTTGCGATCCTCCTGCCTCAGCCTCCCAAACATCTGGGATTGTAGGCGTGAACCACCATGCCCAGCTTAGATTGTTTTTAAAACTTTTGCTATTACAAAGTATGTTGCTGTTAAAAGCTTTGTACATGCCTGCTTTGTGTACATATAACAGTTTTTTCCTAGAGTAGAGGTTGGCAAACTAAGACCCACACACCAAATGCAGTGCACTGCCTGCCTGTTTTTTGTTTTTTGTTTTTTGTTTTGTACCAGAGATTGAACCCAGGGGTGTTTAAACACTGAGTCACATCCCCAGCCCATTTTTATATTTTATTTAGAGACAGGGTCTTGCTAAATTGCTTAGGGCCTTACTAAGTTGCTGAGGCTGGCTTTGAACTTGTGATCTTCCTGCCTCAGCCTCCCAACCCGCTGGGATTATAGGTGTGCGCCACTGTACTAGGCTATCACTGCCTGCTTTTGTACCTCAAGTTTTATTGGAACGCAGCCACACTAATTTATTTGCTTATTGTCCATGGCCACTTTCGCACTACCATGGCAAGGTAGCATACCTGTGACAGAGACCATGTGGCCCACAAAGGCTAAAATATTTACCACCTTCCCCTCCCCCACTGTTTTTCACAATTTGCTGACTCCTGCTCCAGAGTCTTATCCGGCCAGGTCCTGGAAGGTAGACTCTGAGATGGGGATTAGCACAAGGTGACTTTATTAGGGATTGCTCTTGGTGAGGTGGTAGAGAGATAAACTGGGTTGCAATTCATTATGAAGACCTTTGACAGCCCTGTGGGGACCTGTGAAGCTGGCAAGGCCCTTCAGAGTTGTCCTGAGTTGGGACGGTGGGGCCAGGCCTTTCCAACCCTGAATCGGCCTGCCTCACAAAAGGGGAACATCCTCAGGTGAGGTAACTCTCTTCAGTGGAGGGACATTCCCAGCAGGGCTGCTGGCAAAGAGCACTCTTGGCAAGTTGGGAAGAGGCCCATCAGGCATGGTGGGGGGACCCGGGGAGTTCAGAATGGCATCCACTCAGTCCACACTTGTTCTGCTCAGCTCCAGGTCTTGGGTTGACTTCTGTGGGCCCTTTTCCTGGGAGAAATATAAAGCTGGATGTTAAACTACAACTTCCACCCATGGGACGGCTTCATGCTCCTCACCACCTCCCTCTTCCACTATCTAGTCTAGATTCCTCTTTTCCTCAGTGACTTCCATGGAGGCTCGACCTAGAGACCCTCAGCCCTGAGAAGCCTGATCCTGTGGCTGCCATATCCTGCCCAGGCCATGTCACCTTTGCTTTACTTATTTTATAAATATCTGGCAAGGGAATATCAAGAGGTCTCCAAGCGGATCAATTGGCTACCAAAGATCTAACTTCTGCCTCTATTGCTTAACCGCAGCCTGATGATCAAGGATAATTAGCTCTGAAAATGGCTACTACTCTCTTGCCTGCTAGTCCCTTGACACAAGGAGCTCAAAGTGCCTGGATGGAGTCACAGCTAAAAGTTAAGTAGCCATCTTGATGTTTCCAATGGAAGTGTTGTTTTCCCTTTGAGACCCAGGACCTCTGCCCCTGCAGAGGCCAGAGTTGCCAGGACTGGAAGCACAAATGCCCTAGAGGGCCGCTGGGAGTCATGGTAATGGTGAGCCAATCCCGCTTCCCATGCTTGGTTCCTGGACTCACGTAGTTTCCCTATTGGAGACAAAGTGCCATGTAATTGTCTTTGATTAGAATGTGTGCTTCATCCTGGAAGATGACATCCTATTCCTTCAGGGGGTCACATCTGAGCTGGTGCCTTCAAAAGTTTGTTCCAAGCTGGCAGCTCAAGAGTGTCATATGTGAAAGGATGAGTAGGCCCCATGGCCATGTGCCCCCTACTACAGCTCCTGTGCTGAAGAGCCATATGGGATCCCATATGACTGTCCTATCATCTATACATCCTGTAACCTATTCCAGGTTTAAAACTCTATAAACCCTTCAGGAGTTGTGCTTAATGAAGCCCTGTAAGCAACAGAGGCAAACCCTGGGATAGTTCTATTCCAGGGGAAATGAATCACAGCTCCTTCCAGGGAAAGGGGTTTCATATAATCAACTCGCCCAGTGGCTGGTACTTTTCCTTGCAGGGTGGAGATGTATCTGAAGCTGAGCGTTGGTCTCTGTTGCTGGCAGGTTGGACACACAGCAGCAGCAATAGCTTGGTGAGTGGGAGCTCATATGCTGATTTGAATATGTCCCCCAAAAGCTCATGTATTGGAAACTTCCTTCCTTAATTTGTATGTTAATGGTATTTGGAGGTAGAGCCTTTAGGAAGTGATTAGGATGAGATGAGGTCATAAGCGTGGGGACCCATGATGGCATTAGTGGTTTTTACAAGAAGAGGAAGACACCAGACCACACTTGCTCTGTCTCGCCATGTAATGCCCTTTGCTGTGCTGTGGTGCAGTGAGAAAGAAGGCCCTCCCCAGGTGCCAAGTAGATGCTGGCACCATGCCCTCGGATTTCCCAGTCTCCAGAATCGTGAGCCAAATAAACCTTTCTTTATAAATCATCTGATCTTGAGTATTTTGTTAGAGCAACAGAAAATGGACTAAAACATCATGCTATTGGGCCCCTACATGTCTTCTCTCATGCTATAATGGTTACTCCACTTATATACCTGTTGTGCCGGCTGTAGGGTAGCCTCAGAGAGAGACTGGGGGACATCACTGCATATACATGGTTGTTTAGTGCTTCTTCCATGTTTTCTGATAGGAGTTAACATGGAATACGAGGATCTCACACTTGGTGAGCACTCCCATAGTTCCATCTGGCAAAGTTTCCTTGACCTCAATTTTCCGATCTTACTCCTTTCTGACCCTGTACCAAGCAGCCAAGCATTCTCCACTGTTCATAATGTCCACTTCACCTGGCCCCATTTCTTTCCATAAAAAGTGGATGACCAGGTGCACTACCTAAAGTTCTGCCTGTTGGAAGGATTTCCCCTTCTGCTGTCTTTTAAGGACATCCCTATGTGAACTTGAGGCCACACACTGGGCAGCCGCGGTCTATTTTTGTCGTGCTCACACATCCTGACCTGATTCACCTGTGAACAAAGCTTAGCTCATTTTTCTT